CCAGCTCTAATTTAGTCCAGAGGCAAAAAAAGAAAAACAATTAGACCAGATATCAGACTTTATTACATTTTCCCAAATCAGATAAAACTTTAACTAATCCCATAGAGGCCTTAAAAGGTCCTGCTGTTATTGTGCACAAATACAATCCAGGTCTGAATAGCTGACCCCAGCTCTGCTTTCACATAGATGCAAAAAGGCTCTATAGGTTCCCCAGATTGAGCTTTACGCCAATCCCAAAGTGGGTTTTAAAGATTATGCTATTAGTTCAGAAATATCTATTGCAGGATGTCAATTAGAAAAAAAGGGCACTTTGTGTGGCGGATAGAGCCGCTCACTGTCCTTGCAGAGTGGGCAAAACTTAAACATTATTCTTGATATCTGAAATCTAAATTATGACCAGTAACATTTGGATTTCAGAGTTCTGAAATTCATTTTTAGACATCCAGAATGTTTATTTTAGATGAGAGTAATGTTAGTTTGGCTATCTGATAGTAACGGCCCAACACACATGGATGGAGAAAAGTGAGGTCTTTGTACTGGTAAGAATTACATTTCAGATATCCTAGATATTTTAGATAGGAAGAATACTATTAAAGATATCTGAAATACTATCAGGTCAAGCAAATATATGCTAAAACGGCCACTTAAAATGAGTAAAGATTTGTAGATATCTGAAATTTGTTCTAGTTCTTACTAGAACAAATTTTATTCCAGATAACCTAAAATTAAATTTCTACTGTTAGAAATGTAATTAGTGATAGTCTGTATTTATATAGTACTTTTTCAAGTCTGATGTCTTGACCTACTCTATGTTCATTGACCCATTCAGGCTCACGCTCACACACAATACTTTTCTAAAGTATTGTGTGTTTCTTTAATAGAGTAGATTTTGACCCATAATTTTTTTACAGTGAACATTTTTATTTTGTCTCAGAGTCTACCTGATTTTCTCACATGCATCACATTCTAACAATAATTCTAAAAATAATAATGTTAGATTGCTTTTAGTTCCAGTTTTCCTTCTAGTACATCTTAGTCACTGCTTTTGCAACAAATGTTTTTTATATCCATCCTCCTACATTTTCCGAATAGGTTTTAAGTTATAACACTACAGGTTTACATTCACACATTCATATTTATCTGGAGGTTGCTTACAGTTTCCATTGACTTTTCATCAGACACTAATTTTAGGCTGTTTGATACTTTCCATCCAGTTTTATTTAAATAAAACCATCCAGCAGCCGGAGCTGAGCTGCTAATCAGTGTCAGTCTTATGTGTGGGCTGCAGGGGCTGATGGGAGTTTTTAGGGGCTATTAGAAACCATGTTTCCCTCGTCATAGCTAGCAGCTCATCCTTGTTTGGCTTCAGTTGTACCAGAGTCATTTTCTCCAGGTTCACCAAGTTTTTTTCTTTTTACATTTTTGGTATAATTGCTTCTCAAGGTGGGTTGCTCTGTCAGCTAAAGGCACGTAATAGACTCTCTACACTCCAGTTAAAGAAAAATCAATTACTAAATTAGTTGACAATTATTTCATCAATCACAATAAATCTTATTGTTTCAGCTCTAACATCTATCAAGAGTTCAACCAGATTTGACAATTTTAGCATCCGTAGAACTGTCTAGTTTTCTGGAAACATTCTAGTAGTAGAAGAAATTGCCTGTTTTGTAAACAAAGGCACAAGTCCTGCCCCTCACATTACATGTTCTTCGATTCTTCAACCATGACAGTGGATGTAGATTCTTTATTGCATCTTTTTGTTCATGCTTTTTTTTTTTGGTGCTCATTTTAGTTAAGGTCTCAGCGTTGCTTTATGCTAACAGTCTTTTACCACAGTAGTAGAGGGAAGGCTGGAATGTTCATACGCACTTTACAGAATCACTTAATGGAATAATTTTTTTCTTGAAGATTAGGAACAACTGAATGAGGGTTAGTAAAGGATAAAAAGGCCCACTGGTCTTGCACACATCTGTGGTGGAAATTATACTCCAAATATCTGAATGGGTGTGTACATGGAGACTAATCGCAATTGTGATCAGAAAAACCAACAATGTTTTTTTTTCTGATTGGACCAAATCGGATTACAATCTTCAGTCTGACATGTTTGCATTAAACATTTTTTATCTAATCAGTCCTTCAATACGATTGTGTCCAAGTAAACATAACTAGGGATAGAAAAACTTTCATTCCTATGGCTGCATTTTCATTTTTGAAGCTGATAATTAACTATCTATATTATCTATATCTGTATCTATCTATATCACTATATAATTAACATAATCTCGCTTGTTATTGATGCCTTTAATGGTGGTTGCCAGTGTGTCAGAATGCAATTATCAGATTTGTACATCATACATTATTTTTTGTTATATTGATAAAGAGCTAGTTTCCCATGGTTTTTAATCACTGTTATCCACCTTCAACCTCACATTAAAGAAAATATAGTGAGAATAATTGTGTGGGAAAAATATTTTATTATAATAAACAAAAAGGAGACATTGAAATCAGGTCTTCTACAAAGATTATGCACAGTTCTTATCAGAAGTTACAGGCAGATGAATAAATAGTTTAAAACAAGAAAGCTGTATTGCAGTCACTGGAAGCACAACATAAATGCAAGAGAAAAATGAATAAAAGTAAGTAACCAATGACCACAGAGCAGTATACATTTACAAATATTTTAACATAGCTTTGAAATAAACAACAGAATCTGAAGATTTATTATTTTCATACAACTAAACAGTATTTTAGAGGCATATGGTAAATTTAGATCCTGTCTGAGATGGACTGCAGACTGATATTTGGATAGCCTTTCCATTCACATTTAACCAGGTAACTTCAGTTTTTCAGTTAAAAAAAAACAACCAGCTTCTAGTGGCATTTTTTTGTGTTTCAAACTACTCATCAAGCGACCCTGTTTAAAATAGCCTTTAAATGGTTTGTATCCGATCTGCATACAGCGGGAACAGCAGACCCGTGTTGACCCACTAATTTACTCCATATACTTGGGTGCAACTAACGTACGTCACAACATCGCAGCAGTCGAGTCTGATATAACAAGCCATCAGTGTTGGCCAGTAGAACTATTACAAGTAGCCATGTTTATTGTTTTCTACATCAAATAGCTTTTCAATTAGGGCTGAAACAATTAATCAGATTAATCGTGATTAATCAATTATTGAAATAATCATCAACTAATTTAGCTATTAATTAATCATTACTGGAGTATAGTGAGACTTACACATGATTTTAGCTAACCCACTTAGAGCACCAATATACCAAGATTGTAAAAAAATAAATAAATAAAACATTTTGCATTTAAGATAAATGTTTTTGTCCATCAATATGCTCTAACTAGAACTACTTCAGTGCAAAAGTTTTAGTTTCACCTAGTTTTATGTCATAAAAAATCTTTAAGGAGCCTTTGGCTACCTGATTATTAACTGATTAATAAAACAAATAATCAATTTCCAAAATAATTGTTAGCAGCAGCTCTTTGTTTAATAGTGAAGCTACTTTCATGGTTAAGTGTCAGGGTAGCATGTAGATTTTCCCAGGCACGCATCTATCCTGCGTAAACTCCAACAAAGACGTATCAGAAGTAGGGATGGAACGGTTTATGAAAACCGTCCGAACCATTCGGTTCAACTGTCTCGGTTCAATTCACGTGTGTTGCGTTCAGATCATGCGCTGCTCCTTTTTCTAATAGGCGAAGTGATTACACTCCAGAGCAGAAGGTGGCGGTACTGCGACCAAAGCCAACCACCAGTAGTAAACTAGAAGAAGAAGCAGCGAAGCAGCGTAGCCGGGTGTAGCAGAAAAAAAATCAGCTGTTGTGGAGAATTGTGTCTGAATGGTGGGTGGGAAAGAAAAGGAGTTGGAAGACGCGCCAGCAGCACTTTATAGGTCTGCTGTATGGGACCACTTTGCATTTAGAGTGACCTACGATGATGGCGGAAAGAAAGTTGTGGATAAAAGTGCAACAGTGTGCAAGCATTGTGCAACACGTGTTGTTTATGCTAACAGCAACACGACCATAATAGATTTCCTAACAATGAACTTACAGCGAACAGAACCGAAAACCGTGACCACGAAACCATGAACCGAACCGAACCAACCCGTGGATTTTGTGAACCGTTCCACCCCTAATCAGAAGTAAATGGGATGTAAAACTTGCAAATGGAGACTATAGAAGGGAGGAGGAAAAGGCAGACCTGTCATGTCCAAGTCTAAAACTNATGTAAAACTTGCAAATGGAGACTATAGAAGGGAGGAGGAAAAGGCAGACCTGTCATGTCCAAGTCTAAAACTCAAGGACACACTTGGAGCTACATTCAACCATTTGAGGTAGTCATAAAACTCAGCTAGCAAACATCAAAAGCTAACATAGCCTCGTCAGAAAACATTTCCTTTAGAGGCATATTAATTAGCTAAATGACAATTGTTAGTGGGTCAACTTGTGTTAACCTGCTAATTTTAGTGGGAAGAGGCTAAAGACAAGGTTTTTAACCTGTGTGGGTTCTGCTGTGAACTTCAAAATGACTAAGCTGAAAGAATCCTTTTCCACATATCTTGCATGGGAAAGGTTTCTCACCTGTGTGGATTTTGATATGATCATTTAAACTATTAAGATGAGAGAAACTTTTACCACATGTTTTACATGGATAAGGTTTTTCACCTGTGTGGGTTCTGATGTGAACATTTAAATTACTAATCTTAGTGAAACTTTTTCCACATGTCTTGCATGTAAAAGGTTTCTCACCTGTGTGGGTTCTGATGTGATCATTTAAGCTATTGATATGAGAGAAACTTTTCCCACATGTCTTACATGGAAAAGGTTTCTCACCTGTGTGGGTTCTAATGTGAACATTTAAATTACTCATCTGAGAGAATCCTTTTCCACATGTCTCACATGTAAAAGGTTTCTCACCTGTGTGGGTTCTGATGTGAAAAGTTAAACTAGTAATACGGGAAAAACTTTTCCCACATATCTTGCATGAAAGAGGTTTCTCACCTGTATGGGTTCTGATGTGATTATTTAAATTGCTAATCTGAAAGAATCCTTTTCCACATGTCTTGCATGTAAAAGGTTTCTCACCTGTGTGGGTTCTGATGTGATAATTTAAACTATTGATAGCAGAAAAGTTTTTCCCACATGTCTTGCAGGGAAAAGGTTTTTCACCTGTGTGGGTTCTGACGTGAACATTTAAGTTGCTAATTCTAGAGAAACTTTTTCCACACATGTTACATGTAAATGGTTTCTCACCCGTGTGGGTTCTGAGGTGATCCTTTAAACTAGTAATCTGAGAGAAATTCTTTCCACATATCTTACATGGAAAAGGTTTTTCACCGGTATGGGTTCTGATGTGAACATTTAAATGACTAATCCGAGAGAAACCTTTTCCACATGTCTTGCATGTAAAAGGTTTCTCATCTGAATGGGTTATGTAATGTCGTTTCATGGTATACTTATTCTTATAGGATCTCCCACAAATGTCACATGTGAAAGACCTTTTCTTTTGGTCAGTTTGAGACTGACTCTCTGAAATGGTGAAACTGCTTTCTTCCTGATCTTTAGTTTCAACTACAGGCAAGATATTGAAGGAATGCTGTTTAGTTCTTGGTTCTGTTTCACTAAAGTCCACTTCCTGAAGAGTAAAAGTCTTCAAAGGGATTGACTTCTTCTGGACAAGCTGCCCCTTGTCCTGACTGCTGTGTAGATCCTTCTGACCTTGTGTTGAATCTACTGAAGGCCATAGTTCATGTTTAGGCAGAGGAGAATCTGGTTCCTCCTTGACTTCAAACAGTGGTGGTGATGGTTCTTCCTCTTCTTTAATCCATGGAGGTCCTGGTTCATCCTGTTTTTCAGTTGGTAGCAAATGAGGTTCCTTCTGTTCCTCTTTAGCCCATGTAGACTCAGGTTCCNTTCTCACCTGTGTGGGTTCTGATGTGATAATTTAAACTATTGATAGCAGAAAAGTTTTTCCCACATGTCTTGCAGGGAAAAGGTTTTTCACCTGTGTGGGTTCTGACGTGAACATTTAAGTTGCTAATTCTAGAGAAACTTTTTCCACACATGTTACATGTAAATGGTTTCTCACCCGTGTGGGTTCTGAGGTGATCCTTTAAACTAGTAATCTGAGAGAAATTCTTTCCACATATCTTACATGGAAAAGGTTTTTCACCGGTATGGGTTCTGATGTGAACATTTAAATGACTAATCCGAGAGAAACCTTTTCCACATGTCTTGCATGTAAAAGGTTTCTCATCTGAATGGGTTATGTAATGTCGTTTCATGGTATACTTATTCTTATAGGATCTCCCACAAATGTCACATGTGAAAGACCTTTTCTTTTGGTCAGTTTGAGACTGACTCTCTGAAATGGTGAAACTGCTTTCTTCCTGATCTTTAGTTTCAACTACAGGCAAGATATTGAAGGAATGCTGTTTAGTTCTTGGTTCTGTTTCACTAAAGTCCACTTCCTGAAGAGTAAAAGTCTTCAAAGGGATTGACTTCTTCTGGACAAGCTGCCCCTTGTCCTGACTGCTGTGTAGATCCTTCTGACCTTGTGTTGAATCTACTGAAGGCCATAGTTCATGTTTAGGCAGAGGAGAATCTGGTTCCTCCTTGACTTCAAACAGTGGTGGTGATGGTTCTTCCTCTTCTTTAATCCATGGAGGTCCTGGTTCATCCTGTTTTTCAGTCGGTAGCAAATGAGGTTCCTTCTGTTCCTCTTTAGCCCATGTAGACTCAGGTTCCTCATCTTCCTCTTTGATCAGTGGAGACTCAGGGTGCTCCTCCTCCTCCTCCTCTTTAATCCATGGAGGTCCTGGGTCCCTCAGGTCTTTAAAAGAAGGAAATAGATTTTCTCTTTTCATCTCCTCTTCTGTAGTCCATATATGTACTTCCTCCTCTTGGTCATGACCAGGGTTCCTCCCTTGGCTACAGAGCTGGTGGATGGCCAAAGTTTCCTCCTCACTGGAGACATGTGGCTTTTCGAATTCTGAAGGAAACAAAAAAAGGTCATAAATATAATGCAATTACACCCTTTTTCACTGCTAACTGAAACCTAGGGGCATATTTCAATAAAAATGTACCTGTAATTTCACTTTCTTTGGGTCATGGGCAACAGATCCCAGTCTGAGTTTTTGGTCAGGCTGAGAAAGTAATTGCATTTCTAATTACAATCAAAATGATAACTTAATTCTTTGATAATGTGAACAACAACGAGTGCATTTCTTATTTCAAAATCCCAATCAATCACTTTATGTCTATAGCATATTTACAAAGCCGCAGGGGAAACCAAAGTGCTGTACCTAAAAACAAAAACAACCATAGGGGTAACCAAAGTGCGCACTTTTACTCGTCGTCTCCCGCTTCATTTGGGACTGGGTCAGGCAGGCAACAGTCTCAGCAGAAACTTCCAGACTTCCTTCTCCCCAGACACCTCTTCCAGCTCTGCTGGGGGAAGCCAGAGGCATTCCCAAGCCAGCTGAGAGACATGGTTCCTCAAGTGTCCCATGGGCCTCCTCCCGGTTGGACGTGCCTGGAACATCTCCCGAGAGAGGCGTCATTGGGGCATCTGGAAAAGATGTCCAAGCCACCTCAGCTGACTCCTCTCGATGTGGAGGAGAAGTGGCTCTATTCTAGCCTCTACCGGATGACCGAGCGGCTCACTCCATCTCTAATGGCGTGCCCAGCCACCCTGCAAAAGTTAATTTCAGTTGCTTGTATGCGAGATTTTATTAGTTTGGACATGATCATGATTTCATGTAGGAGGGTAGTAATATAGACCAAATAGAAAAAAGAGAGCTTCGCCTATTTTGCTCAGCTCTCTTAACCACAACAGACAGGTGCAGGGTCTGCATAATAGACACCTGGGCACCAGGAGAGACACAGTAGAATGCCGTCTACAAGTCCACAAGACTTGAAAAACTAATCTGTGACACTCTGCAGATTCTGACGCTTTCAGATCCTCACGATGCATTTATTTGATCCCCTAACAACAGATGACAGACAACAGACGTGTGTTGGATAGATCTTAGGCCAGGATAAATTATAACATTTATTCTGACCCGTTTGTTTAGTTTTGCAGCATTTTCACCTAATCTGTCCAACCAGCTGTGTTTTGGACCCCGTTTGTCACAAATTTATCTAGTTGATTGCTTATTAATTTCTTATCTGCCTTTTTCTACATGAAAAAATATCAAGCAGTCATGGCGTGTGATACATCGTAGTGGTAGCTGCTAAACTGTGGGATTTGAATTCTACTATCAATACATAAAAAGTAATCTTTCTGCATCAGCAGGTACATGATTCAGATGTCATTAGCTGAAATGCACCTAAATAAATAAATTGTACCTAAATAAATAAAT